GCACATATATTAATTAGGTGCTCAGTGAATACCATGTTGGTGATGAATACTGAAAGTACCATGGACTGCCTGAAGAACAAATAAATCTCCTGGAAGAAGTTCAGACAAAATGCTCCTTAGAAGTGAGAATGGCCAGACTTTGTCTCACCTACTTTGGTCATGTTTCAGAAGGGATCATTCCCTGGAGAAGGATATCATGCTTAGTAAACGGCAGGATCAATGAAAAAAGGGAAGAGCCTCAAGAAGATGGATTGACACAGTGGCTGCAAAGATGGACTCAAGTATAGTAAGGATTGTGAGGATGGCACAGGACTGGGCAGTGTTTCATTCTGTTGTACATAGTGTCACCATGAGTCAGAGCCGACTCGAGGGAACCTAACAACAACAACAGTGAACACCTATTGAATGTGGAGAGCAGGGTGGGTGATCTGTTTCAGGCACAGTAGTCAGGGAAGGCCTCTCCAAAGAAGCAGCTTTAAGCCAATACTTGATTGCTGAGTTGGGGACAAATAGGCCTCTTCGGAGGAAGGTTGGGCAATCCACTTCCATAGTGATAGTGCCTCGGAAACCCAAGGAAGGGCCACTATGAGTCGGGTCCGACTCGATGGCACATAACAACAACAATAACAGGCCGTGATTTGCTGGAAGAGAGAACAGCAAGTTGAAAGGCCCTGACTTAGGGCCAGGGTGGTGATTGGAAGGAGCAATGAGGGTCTGAGTAAGCTAAGCCAGGGGGAGAGTGTCCGAGATCTGGGGCCAGATCCTGTGGGGTCTGTAGTGCTGAAGGAGTTTGGATTTGGATTCAGTGGGCAACCAGTTTAGTCATCATTCTCCTAGTGGAGAGTGGCGGGTCATGTTGGTGGTGGTGTTGTGTGTGTCTCAGTGAGGAAGGTCAGATCAAGAGGCAGGGCCAGGCCATCAAGGATTTTTTAGGTATATCCTGGGAACTAGCAACCTTGTTTTAGTAAAGGATGTAGACGTTCTAAAGCTTTGCACTCTTCTGCCTAGGGAGAAGGGTGGTTGGAGTCAAAATGCTGGCTTTGAGGACACCCACACTGTCAGGGTTGCCAATCTAGACTCTCGAAGAGGTAGCAGGATTAGCTACTGAGTAGCCCTCTGAGTGAGACCCCTGGGGTGGCAAGGGATTCAAGTGCATAATTTGGAGGCTCAGTGTGGCTTGCCCTATGCACAAGGGCCTCATCCTGTTCTTACAGAGAGTGAAGAGGGGCTGCTGAATGGGGGGCAGACAAGGAATATGTGGTGTGTGTTGGGGGGTAGTCCTAAGATACTGGGCAGTGAGAAAAGTGACCTGATGAGGAGGATAAGTTATCTAAGAACAAGAGATGGGTGCTGGTGAATGAACACTGGGAGATGGTGAAGGCAGCTATCAATCTTGTGGATATTCAGGGCTCCAGACTTGGAGGAGTGGGGAGAAGAGCTTCCAGATTAGGGAGGGC